TTTGGCGCTCATACAAGACGGGGTATGAGGGACGACCGGTTAGTTGACAATGTTTGATATGGGTTCACGCGTAGTGGGACATTCCTATGGACCCCCATGGATACCGATAAGCAAATAAAAAGTGAAAGTTGTTATTCTGGCTACTTGAATGTGAGATTATGATGTTGTTTATCTTATTGCCTCTACAGGTCGATTTCTAAAATCTCACAACAGTAAGTATGCAATAAATGGTTTTATTTACGATAAATAAATTTACTTAATTTAAGAGTTTTATTGGTTATTTTTATGATTTTTACCAACATTCATTTCTGTATCGGTGAGTAGTGTGATATTCTTACTGAGTTAGTGTAGTTCACCATTTCATTAATTTTTTCAGATCAAGATGACCAAGATTCAGATCCCGATCCACAAGGGGGTTGTAAATAGGATACCTAGTTGTTTACTTTTCATTAATTTCTTTGATTTTTCGTTTGTTCTTTTAGAATAATCATTTTCTAGCCCTATTGGATATTCTAAATTATTGTGTAAGGAATGTAAACTCTAACTCTATTATTTCATTTCCACATTCAATTTATGATTTATTTCCTTTTAGGTTCTGAGCCTTTACAGTTGATATCAGAACTGCGTTCATCGGAACCATTCCTTACACAAAACTTAAGGAAACACCAAAAAATGAATTATTGCTCAACAATTCCTTGTGAAATGTAGGCACAAATAGATGATGAGAGGAAAACCCCCATTAAACCGAAGAGCTCGAGAGGGTTCACTTCGAGAAGATATTGACTGAATCTTTGAAATGATAGAGAGACTCATTACTGCCCAGTAGGTCCGAGAAGAAAGGAGAGAGCTACCTGACCCTCTCTCGCTGCCACAGTTTGAGCCACCCTTGCAGTGGGAGGATCCTGAGCCACCCTAGTACAACTTTGCTCTTCCACATTATCATCCGACATCACCACAGTATAGTTCGGTGCCCCAACCATCACCCGACACCACCACAGTACCGTCTAGTGCCTCCACCGTATCATCTAGTACTACCACAAGGCTATCTGGTCCTCCTCAGTACAATCCAGTCCCTCTTCCATGGGACCCAGTTCCACCCATGATGGACCTAAACTATATTAAGAGGTACAAAAGACTAAACTTATCTACTTTTGTAAGAGTATCCTCATTTGAAGAGGCTGAGTACTAGTTAGATAAGATAGAGAAGGCTTTCACAACTCTTGAGGTGGTTCCCAAACAAAGAGTTATACTTGTCACTTACATGCTGGTGGGAGAGGCAGATCGCTAGTGGCAGCTCAAGCAGGCCACCATGCCTATTCTAGTCACTTGGGAACAATTTCTGATGGCCTTTAATATAGAGTATCTCCCAGAGCATCTCTGACATTTGAAGAAAATAGAGTTTGCACATATAGTCAAGGGTGATATGACTATGCCCGAAAGTTTCTAGAGTTGGACTGGTATTCCACTGAGAGCATGATGGATGAAGGCAGAAAGGCAATAAAGTTTAAGTGGGGCCTTTGTCCTAAGATTAGACAGCAGCTGTATGTGTTCGAGCTCAACACTTACTTACCCGTTCTGGCCAAGGCACAGCTAGTAGAGAGGAACTTTCGCATTTTTCCTCTAGTAGTTGGGAATCTCAGGCCCCCGGTTTCACACCGCAGAGCATCACCCACTGCACCTGTTCAGCAGAACAAGAGACCTAGGCCAATGGCTCAGGCTCCTCCTTAGATTCCGGTAACAGGACGCGGTAGGACTTATCAGCACTGTGGCAATGATCATGGGGACCGACCCTGTTATCGCCTCAACAATACTTCTCATATATGTGGGAGTGTTCAGCACTACGCGAGAGAGTGCCCAAGGAATCAGAACTA